GCCTTTATCGACCCAATCCATCTCCTATTTGGTCTCCCTTGTCTTCTTTTGATATCCCCTTGCATTATGGTCTTCTCCAGTGAGCCTGGCCTTCTCTGGATGTGTCCAAAGTACCAATGGTGCGCTTCGCAGGATGGCCTTCTTGGCCCCTTCCAGCTCTATTATTCTAGGATTCCGTGACTGGCTATGCCTAGCTTTCCCAGCGGCCTATCACATGGTCAACAATGTCTCCCATCACACAATGACTGCAAATCCCCCTGTAGAAAAACCCTTCCAAGAAATTCCACTCATCTTACTGAAATCCTTGGCTTCCCCCAAAATTGCTAGCAACGTTTTGCCCGAGTAAAATCAAATTCAGCCTGCAAATCTGCTGAAGGAGAGCTTTAGCCACTGTTCTGGATTTTTAAAGGTTTTGCAAACTGGCCCTTTCTGTACACCATGTATAGAAACACGAAACAAAATTGTTGATTGGACACACAAATATTTATTAGCAAAAATAAATTTATTACACTAACACAGAGAAATACGGTGATAGCAGGAGAGATGAGCTCTCCCTGGATCGTTCTTGTGTAGCAACGTGTTGGATCTCTGGAAGTGAAAGCAAGCCAAAGAAGAAACTATTTCTTCACTGCCCCATTAGAGTGGGGGGACTGAATAAATAGCATTAGGATTAGGACTGTGTACAGCAAGGGAGATGGATAGCCCCCTTCCATAAATGCCAGGGTTTTAAGACACACAAAATACATTTATGAGGGTGTCACCTCCCACACAGTCAATCCAGACTGTGATCCAAATCCAAACAGGATTTGGGCTGGGAATCCCCCCGCCCTCAACACACAATTCCAACGTGCTGCATGCATCCACACCCAACTCCAAGCAGCCTCATTCACCTCTGACCCACGTCTCTCGTTCAGCATGATGTCCGTGAAGAGGCAGGGCAGAACTTGCTCAAGGGGTGTGGAGACCCCCAACTCCCCTTGTCCAAGGTGGGGCCATCTTCATGACCGTGGTTGCTACTTTTCACCTGTAGCTACCTCTGCATTCATGTAGAGATTTAAAAATGTTTCTTATTTCATTATTTTTATATTATTATAATTTGCCTTCAGGATTTGGCCAGTGAAACAACATTTATTTAGCCTCTGGCAGCCTCAGCCAAATGCTAAATTCATGGGTCCAAATAGATACTACTAAAACAATTGTTCTCCACTGGTACTCATAAGGGGGGGGGGGAACACAAGCTGTAAATTGGAGACAGAAACAAGAATCCACTTTAAAGATTCTGTACATCCTTTAATGCTCCAGTCACACTCACAAACACACATGATCCAGAGCCACAACGACCAATGACCCCTTGGGGATGCCACTTAAGAGTTTGAAGAATGGGGACACCGGCTGATGAGGGAAAATACATTTCTAGTCCTCCGACTCTTGTCTGGAGAAAGGAATAACCCCAAAACGACATCCCCAAGAGTGCAGAAGCTGGACATTTTCATCCTAACAGTGGCTAAGAAAACTGGCTAAAAGGCACTTACTCTTCCTGTTGGAGGCCCACCCACTCAAAACCTGGAAGGAGTCTCCAAACTGGCATTCCAGCCCATGGGAGCCCTACAGTTCTAGGGTTGGAAGGGACGTTTTGAACTGGTATCCAGCAGCAATATCTTTTTCTAGTATTAGGGACTCTCAGACATCACCCCAAGCACACGCATCAGGAGCCCAGGGCAGCTTTTAGGATCTAGCCTGGGCCGCCTGCCTACTCTAGAATAAAAGCGAAGCAGGGAGGTGCGGACAGAAATGGATTTAAAGGGATCCCTCCTTGGCCCCACCACTGTGGCAACCGATGGGAGCAGAACCTGTGTCACTGGAGAGTCTGGCCCAGCGGGAGGGGCATTCACATCCCTGGAAAGAGAACCACGGGCCCATTAAACTCATCCACACACTTTTAGGAAACAGTATCGTTCAACAGAGCTGTTCCAAAGCAGAATACAGACAGGCAGAAATAGTCTGGGCACAGGTAGCACGGAAGAGCCGTGTCTCGAGACACAAAGAAATTCTATTACTACAATTTAGGGGTGGGAGGGGCACCAGGAGTGTCAATGTGTAGCTAAGGTCCCTGTCCCACAGAGCTTACAATCAAGACCAGAGATGACCCACCTTAGCTGGCCGTTGGCCATTTTTAGGCATGGTGTTGTTATCCCAGGCACGCCTTGGAAAGGCAAAACGGCTGCTGCAAAGGCCAGTTTGTTTCAGGGGAAGCTTCCCGGGGGAAGCATCCATTCTTTGGCACCTCTAACTGGAGCTTGTACCACATAAAATTGGGTGTTTTAGCCTTCTGACCCCAACCAGGTGGCCTTCCGAGGTGATGGACCTCGACACCCATCAACCCCATACAGGTTGGGCCGTAATTCCCACCCACCCCCAGCCATCCAACATGTCTGGAAGACACCGTGTTGGGGGACGCTGCAGGGGACATTTTTGCCAAGTGATGCCAACTTCGTAGCGCTTGCTCGTCCAGAATGGGGCCAGGAGAGTTTTGGCCCAACTCTGATCTAATCAAGGGGTTCACTGAGCTAATGGAACACCCTGGAAATTGGAGAAATAAATGAGAAATGCGGGTGACCTGCTGGGAGATCAAGACATGCTTCCTTTCCGCCACGCATGAAGCAGCCACGGCTGAGCACAGGAAGGCTGAATAAAATGCCCAGCATTTCTCTGCCGCCAGGACCAGCGCTGTGCTAGAGGGGAATGGAGGGGGCTATTGCTCTAAACCTACAGGCGATGGGAGTTCACTTAACACTGGACCACAACTCCCATAATTCCCAGCCACCGGTCATGCTGGCTGGGAATTATGGGAAATGCTGTCCAACACACCAGGAGGTTGAAGAAGCCTGGATTGGGCATCTGGGAAAAATGGGTAGATATCAACAAAGAGGTGGATATCATAAAATAATATGATAAACATTTATGTGGTTGATCTCAAGCGTTCCAAGCAGCTTGTATGCATTAACACGGTAACACTCCCCACAACTGCATCAGTCAGGGAAGCCGGTGCTTATCAGCCCGTTGCTGCAGATGGACGATTGAGAAGATGCCTTTCTGGAGGCCACCAGGTAACTTCTGGACTGAGAGACTGGAATCATGGATCCTCCAGGAGCTCAGGCTTGCCCTTTAGCCAACGCTTCCTCGAGGAGGGGGCTGCACAAGGCACCGGTGTCCACGAGCCCCGTAACTTGCAAAGGAAAGAGGAGACACCCCGAGACGAAGGGGGTGAGCAGAATGCTGCAACGGGCAATATCTCCCATAGCTTCATTTTCCTACTGGTGGCAACCGTGACTAGCTCACTGCTGGGAAGTAAGAGCCATCATGTTTTCATCGAAAGCCATGCTCTCGTGGGGGAGAAGACACTCACCACCATTACGAGCCTTTCCAACTCTTAACCTCCCCTCCTTTTGCTCATGAAAGTCCTGGGCAACCCTCCGCGTTGCCACGGCCGGCTCCCCTCACGAACGCAGCCCCAATCTTTTAAGTGGAGACCCCGGCTACTTCCCCGCTGTGCCTGATGGTCCTTGCAGAGGAAGGCCAACTGGTGAGGCTGCGGACCAGCACTGGGGGCTGAGGGGGGCTTGGAAGTCCCGAAGAGCAATCCAGGTCTCATCTGTTTGAAAATGGACACCCCGAGCCCTTCCCATCTTTCTGCTTGAATGTTCCCGCTCTCCCACCCCAAAGCTTTCTGGCAATCTGAGGGGCGTAACTGGCAGACTGCCTAGCTGGTGAATGGAAGGAAGGAAGGGGAGGAGGAGGAGGAAGACACTATGGAAGGGTCTGCGAGGAATGGAGGAGAGGCTGAAAAAACTCTGGTCTTTCGATAATGGCAGAAAGGTTTATTGTGCCTTGGTGGGGGAGGGTCTGACCCCACGTTGATCAACACACTCCACTGCCAAGCCCCAAAGGCGAGCAAGCACATTTCGGCTGCCATTCTCAGCCATCTTGTTTCTTTGCACGAGTTCAAATCCACGTGGCTTGGGTCGATTTGGGTTTTCCTGCAATTTGGAAGAAGTGTCATCCAGATTATGGTACAGCCAGGCCCATGGGAACTCCTGCAGATGCCTGTACCGTGTGTGCCATTTATGCCACGGGATGGACACTTTTGCTGAATGTCAAAATGGCTGAGAGCAGAACAGAATTCTGCCCGCGACTTTTTCTTTAGCCTGCAAACACAGCGCCGCCACCCTGGGCCGTCTTGGAGAGGGTTGCTCGATGCTCAGCCGCTTCCGAGTCCAGTCTAAAAACGACGACTATAATCAAAATGACCAAACCAAATCGACGCATCACCCAGCTGCCCAATTTAAACTGGGCTTCCAGACCTAGCTTAAAAACACCGGGACTGAAGTCTATTTAGGCTATGGATGGGCTCCAACATACCTCAAGATACCAGGCACAAAAGCTCAAGCTCTCCCCAATGCTCCACGCTACAGGGAATCCCTGCAGCCTGGAAGCAGCAGCTTTTAAAAATCACAGAGTTCCCCATCTGATTAATATTCAAAAAAGACATTTGCTGCAGGTGCCCAACTGGCTCTGGGAACCCCACCCTGCTCCGATTCCCTAAACAGATGCTGTCCAGGGTGGGGTCCAAATGCCGGCGCACCCCTCTCATTCCTAGGAGACCCAAACCGAGAACGTGGCTCTGAAGCGGAATCCCGCTCCCCCTTGGGACACGAAGATCAACCTGTCGCTCAGCTCCCTGTAACTCCGATCCAGATAAGCAAATACAGAACACAGCCGCTGTGCCGAAGACAAGCTCGCCCCGACTCGGGCTGCCGCTGCCCTGCATTTTCCAGGGCCGGCCGGCCCACAAGCCGTCCTCCGCAGCCCACCGGGACAGCGTGTGCCGCTGTATTTGCATATCCTTGACCAGAAAATGAAGGGTTGGGGAGATGCCTCCAGGGGAGGCTGGCCAGCCCAGGCACCCCCCCCCACTGGCTGCCCCCCCCCGCACTCCTCCCTCAAGCCGACGGCAAGCCCAGGCGGCTCTTGTGGTACTTCATGCGCACGCGGAAGAAGGTGTACATGGCCAGCAAGCACAGGGAGGAGAGGAGGTACAGCACAATGCACAGGCTGACGTCCAGCCGGGAGAAGCCCGCTCCCAGGATGTGGAACCACTGGCTCCGCCTCCCGGGGACCAAGCTGCCCTCTGCCGCCGCCTCCGGCTCCTCCATGGCGCCCGTGCGCTTCGGGCCCCCGTGCCGCCGGGGCTCCCAGACGGGATCGTGGTCGAAGGACTGGTGGCCCTCGTCCGGGACCAGCACCACCCCGGTGTCCCGCCTGCTCCGCCGGGACCTGGGGCCGGCCTGGCCCGCCGCCTTCAAGGCCTTGCTCTTGAAGTGCTGCTCGCTGAAGCTGTCCAGGTCGACGATGTCTTCCCCCAGCGTTTTCGTCTTGGTGCTCATCCTGACGATGCTCGGCCTGTGCAGGTCTGCGGGGCCCGGTCTTTCCGAGCCGGGCTTCTTTCTCCTGCTCTCCTGCTTCTCCGTCCTCGCCTGCTCCTCGCCGCCGCCTCCCTCTGCCGGCTCCCCCGCAGCCCCGGGGACTCCATCCTGCACATCGCGACCGTTTCTGGCCGGGGCCACCCGCCTGGGCTCCAAGAAGTCCAGGAAAATGTTGCGCGTGGAAAAGTGGTGTTTGAAGAATTTCAGGACGGAGGCCTTGTTCCAGATGCGCTGGCCGTTGATGTTCATCTGGCACGTCCAACAGAGCTCCTGGGGAGGCCACTGAATCTTGGGGAACCTGGGGTCCTCGCTCGTCTTCCCTGCGCAAAGAAAGCTGGAAGTGGAGCGCCAGACAGCGGGGGCACGTGGCCCCAAGGGCCTCCGCCAGTGAGCCCCACCCTGTGGTTTCTTGGCCCGCGGAGCTGCAAGGGCCACCGGGTCAGGCCCCGCCCCTGCATCCTGCACTCCCCATGGCCAGCTGCCTGCTCCCTGTGCCCAGCGCTGGGGCCGGCCCCCCGACCCCTCCGCACCAGGCACGGCTTTCAAGCCTTCCTTGCTTTATGGGAGGAGGCAGGGAGCTCTCCCGAGCAAGGCGGGTGGCTGGTCGCCTCTGGGGTTCCTCTCCAAACGGCCAGCCGTGCTTTCTGGGCTGGCGAAGCAGGGGGGGTTGGACTGCTGGGGACTGAAAGAGGCACAGAGCGAAGCGTGTGGAGAAATGGGGGGGCTGTGTGGCCATTCGGGACAAGGAATGTGCCGGTGTGCAGAATCCCTCTGCCCTTGGGCAGCCACAGCTGCAAGAAGCAGGGAAAGGGGCGGGGGGGTGGTCTACCTTCAGGAGCCCGGCATGTTTTTCATTTCCCCTTTTACGTGCTCCTCAAGAGGCCACCCGCACCCTTTCCTCCTTTCTCAACCCAGGGCCTGCATTTCAGCAAAGAACCCGGCTGGGGTTCTTTGGGTGGCCAAAGCGGTCGGAAACACTGCTGGAGAGAGAGCTGCACCACCCAGGGAAGCAAGCGAACCCAGAAGTGGCAAATGCGAGACAGGCGTGGAAACGAGCCCGGGTGCAGTTTGGCCGCGCAGGGCATGCTGGGAGCGCCAGAGCTTCTTTCTAGCTGGCAGCACAGAGGGCGGCACCCTGAGTTTCCACAATCCCCCAGCGAGTCTGGAAAGGAGGCGGGGCTTTGGCAAGGGGGAGGAGCCTCCCTCAGAGCCCAGAGGGTTGGATGGGCAGCCCGGCAGGCTGGATCTGACCTGCTGCCTGGGGAGCTCCCACACCTGGCCTAGGCTCTTTCTGGCTGGGGTGGGTTGTCGGCGCTGAAACCGGAGAGCCATGACCTAGCGGCAGGGAGTGGACGCATCCGCAGGACGGCGAAATACGGAAACCGGGCCTGAGTTTCCGGAAAGCCTCCCGAGGGGAGCGTCTACTCAGAAGTGACCGGCGGAAAGAGCAGGGCACGTGTCAGCCCGTGGCTATCCGTGGCCTGCCCTGAGACCGGGGGAGGGGGGGGTGACAGGCGCTCCCCCAGCAGCGCAGCTGTTACCTGCCAAGCGAGCGTTGACTCGGTTGTGCCTTGACCAAAGCCACAGAATGGCCGCATCGGTGTGCTGCACTTTGTCCATGTCTTCGGCGGCCATGCCTTCAAAGTGCTCCGCGCACTCCCGACAGCCGAAGAAATGCCGGACGTATGCTCTCATCGCCCGGAGGGCCTCCGGCGACCCTACGAAGGAGAGCGGACAGGAGAGGGGAGGACCGTTAAAATGGGAGAAAAGAACGGCGGAAAATGTGCCTCTTGACTCATGGTGAATTCAGGTGCTGCGCAGCTACCGTGTTTCCCCGAAAATAAGACCAGGTCTTATATTAATTTTTGCTCCAAGAGATGCATTAGGGCTCATTTTCCGGTGATGTCTTATTTTTTCTTACGAAAGCCGTAAGATTCTCGCCCCGAGATTCCTTCACGATTCCTTTCTTGTACTCAATGGAGCAGCTTTCTTTTTGCACCCATCTTGCATTTTGCATCCATGCATTAAGTACGTCCGTCACAACACACGACGTATCGAATTATGAAACACGTCCGTTCGTTATCAAGTGCGCACGTTAGCCATGCGCTGTGTCTGGGCTCCCATTGGTCGTTCGGCAATGAGTCTCGCATTCATCTCTTTCCATAGGCATTTACCCCTCTTCCAAAGGCGTCCGCTTGGGTATTTACAAATACTAAATTATAATGTATATTATCATTTATTTTAAGTATTAATGTCCATAATTATATTACTTATTTATATGTAATTATATATTAATATTATTATTTTATCATTCAATACGTCTGTCATGTGCTGCAACGGATGTACTACTGCGTTCCCCCGTCTGTCTGGCTGACGATCTTAACTGGGGCTTACTTTGGGGGTAGGGCTTATATGACGAGCATGCTGAAAAACCATGCTAGGGCTTATTTTCCGGTTAGGTCTTATTTTCTGGCAACACGGCGGTTCTGCTGCTGAAACATGAGGAGAGGGACGGATGCCAGGCGGATGCTACAGCAGCCAGGCATTCAACGAGGGGCAGCTAACTCCAGAGGCTGCTACCGCTGCCAATTCAAAGTCTGGATCGCTGGATTCGGCACCTGGGCCACCGGGCTGCAACGTCGTAGGGGGAAAGGCAGCATTTGTGATGCGGGCGGGGGGGGTGCTTAATTCTTCCCCTTTTTGCTGCTTTCCTCCCATGGGGTTCTGGATCAACACTTGCCAAATCAAGAAGAAAACCACCCGGGGAGGGAACCGCAGCGGGAAACAGCGGGTAAGGTGCCATCCTCCCACTCGCTGCTTTTCTGCTGCAAATCAGTTCTTCCCCTGGCACTCTGCACATGCTTGGCGTTCAGTGGGAAGTGACACATTTTGTACTACTTTCCTATGGGAAAGTGTAAAGGTACCAGCATCTTCGCAAGTGCACCGCCATCGATAGTCACGGTTATTTTCATTCCAGAGTGCCTTTTTTAACGTAAGTAATATTTCCCATATACTTAAGTACTTCCTCTTCCCAGGCTCTTAAAACTATAAAAGTGACTGTGTGCAATTACTTGGATGCGGTGCGTTAAAACCCAAAAATTAAATAGTCAGGGGACCTTGAGACATCTTTGTGGGATGCTGATGGACCCAGGGTTGTGCATGGATAGGAAATGTTCCTTCTCCCACTTTCCCAAAAAAATTACCAAGAAGGGAGGGAGGGAGGGAACGTACACAAAATCCTCCAACCAGGAACTGTAAGAGGATGACTAGGACCAAGACACCAACAAGATAAAAACTTCTTGCTGCAGTTTTGGTGGAAGAGCACATGAAAACAGTTCAGGGCTCAGTGGCTGAGCGAGAAAAGGCTGACCGCCACCCTTACTTACTCCTGGTCTTGGGGTCAAGCAGCGCTTCTTGTACTGTCAGCAGGTGGAAGAGGGTCCACAGACTACACGGATAGCCTCGGAACCCGGGTTTGCTTCCCTGACATCCGACCCAAATTGTTTTCTCGGGCAATCTTGCATTTGGAAGCTGGAAGACAGGCAGGGGAAAAAGCTCTGTTGGTGTGTTAAGGCTGCAGAAGAAGGAAAGGGACAGAAAGGGGTGGAAGTCGAGGACGTCAGCTTTCAAACTGTGACCCAGGGAACCCTGGAGCGCTCAGAAGGGGAGCAGGGATTCTGCAACCCAAACACGGTCAAAGAACTGCCCCATTATTCCTGATTCTCCCCATGGCTGGTGAGCACAGCACCCGGGGGACAGTTTTTCTGATTATGTGACATAACAATAAGGAATACAGATATGAAGAAAACTAGCAGCACTCCATTCTTTCATTTCTTTCATTTCTACTCCATTATGAACGTTGACTGGCTTTTGATATTTATTAGCTATTTGATCTCTGCAGCTATTTGATCATTACCTTCAGTAATGTCAGGTTTCACCATTCATATTATATTCCATAATTAGTAAATTTTCTAAACAATTCAGAAATAGTAAAGCTGATTCCCCAGCACCTGACACAGACACAAAACTGGAAGCTACGTTTAACATGCAATTAATTAACTTAACATTAATTGCATGCCTGGTTTTTCAGTAACCCCTTTTAAACGGAACCATTTCTGGATCACAGGGAATATCTAGGCCAGGCATATACTTGATGGCATTTAAAATACTGCCCAATAAATTTTGATCTTGGGACAGCTCCAGAAAAGTGATAAAGATCAGCTTGAACAGTATTCCATTGCCAACAATTGTCATTTAACAAGGTATATATATACTTCACTCTATGAGGAATGAGATAGTACTGGTACTGTCTTTTTAAACAAGTTTTAAAAAAATCAGCTGAATTTCTGAGTAGGGTCTGCAGTGCAGACAAAGATATAAAGCTGTTTGTATTCTAGCATAATCTAAAGCAACCTGTAGAATGGCCCTTTAGAGGTGCTGACTACAACTCCCATCATCATACTTGGGGATGATGGGCGCTGTAGTCCCAACACATGGGGCGGGGCCCAAGAGAGGAAGGCTGCCTTAGGATGGGCTCCGGAGTTTTCCAGAATGGGCAGGTGTCCTCCAGGGCAGGTCGGCAGGCAGCTCGCAGGACAACATTGCGCGGGATGCTTACAGGAGCTCTCAGCCCAAGTGTCCAGGGGGCCATAAGCCGCCCACCCTGAGGGCCTGGCTTCTTTTCTGACACAAATCCAACAGGGACTCATCACTCATCACTATGGAAGTCGGCACGGGAATTGCTCCCAAACGACAGGATGTGTGAATGCCGCTCGGAGAGAAAATGGAAGCAGGAAGGCCTGAACTCCTGGGCTGGAGAAGACGCTCCACCTGCACGGGGTCACGTACCTCCTCTTTATTCCGCAGGGCCTCCTCCCACTCGCTCTGTGAAATATTTGTCTTCGACTTCAGCCAAAAGTCCAGGTTGAGAAGGAAGTTCATGACCATGAGACGTCCAGGAAAATACTGGTGGAAAAATGCAAGGCGGGAAAGCAGATGGTTAGCCGGCAGTCCTTGGCGGAGGGCAACGCAGAGAGCGGCGCGTGCCCCAGGCCCACGCCGGAGTCTCTGGACACGCTAAAACGCTTAGCGAACACAGAATATATAGCTCAGGATGCAAAATTCCGGTTGGTGAGGATCTCGGGCCAGCTCAAGCTGACATGAGCACTAACGTTAAGTCACACTGGAGCTGCATAAGGAACTTCTAGCATTAACGCCAATGGTATTGAGTAGTGGAAAGGGTTGGGGTCAGGCTTGAGCGAAAGGTGGCGTATGGTAGTTCAACATAATTTACATTTGCTTATGTATCTATTTTAAACATTTGTATGCCACCCGATCGTGCCACCACAGCACCTCTGGGCAGCTCACAACATGAGATAAAAACACAATAAAAGCATAAGAACCATAACACATTAAAAACATCAATAAAATACATTAGCACGTGTATTGACTCGGTTAATACACCCTTCATTTTCATTAACAAAAAGCCTCCCAATTTTTTTCAGCAGAGAGGGGCATATTTCTAGACAAAATGAAACTATAGAAAACTGGTTTTCCTCCCCAGAGGTTTTTGGACAAATTGAAGGAAATCCAATCATTAGCACCCTTTACAATTTGAAAGGCACTTTGTTACTTCAGTAATATAAAATGTATTGTGCAAAACTTGGTTTGCCATAAAATCATCACGTTTGGCCTATTAAAAGAACACTTTATTCAGACAATAGTTGCAACCTGGATTTATTTCTCGCTTTTTTATTTGTTTCTTTGTGCCCTGAATGGTTTATGAGAAGCAGATGCAAAAACCAATAAATTAGAAGAAACCACTCACGTTCATAAAACAGTGAATATTATGCTTCCCCCAGTGGACACAGAGCGCTCATTCCTAGGAAGAAGCTAAGGACGGCTTGGTCCTTTCTCCCAGTCCTTTGAGGTCTACTCAGGAGGAGGGGCACAGGCCCACCCACTGCTCCAGCAAGGGGGAGCTCCTCTTTTCCTTGGCACCAAAGGCAGAGCCCCCAGAGGCTGGGACACCATCCTGCGCCTGCCTTTGAGCATCACAGTCACCGCCCAGGACTAGCTCATCCTCAGTGTACAGGAACTGCACCCAGCCCTGGTCAAGCATCTGTTACGAAGCTTTTCGACAACATTTGCGGGGAGTAAATGCATGGACGCTTCGCTTGAAACGCTCCATTCATCGTTCTGAAATTCTCATCAGCAGCCGCAGCAGCAGCTTCATTTCAATACCAGCCCACAGCTGAAGCTCCATGAAAGAAAACATTCCGAATACATTAAAAAAAATTCCCGGTTTTTCATAAGAAGCTCCCCCACACCTCAAAAGGTGTTGGGGGGAAAAGACTGGGAAAAACATTCCCAATTTCCCCCTGGTTCTTCTGTGCCGATGCCAGAGACAGGAGGGCTGGCAGTTCCTCTCTGCCTGGACAGCACCTCAAGGCGCAGGCTTAAACTAAGCTGCGCCACCCTCCCCTCTTCCCGCCATGAAAAGCTTAACGCATCACACTAAGCTCCTCTGGGAACGCCACTTCCTCGGGTGCTTCAACTGCCAAAGGGAGTGAGGAGCAGGAGAGGTGGGAAACGGCCCAGGCGGGTGCTGCATGGGGTTTTGTTCCTCCGGGCTCCGCAGGGCCTGCTCCCGGGTCCGTGGCTGCAGGACTCTGTGCAGCCAATGAAGCGGTGGCAGAACCGAAACAGCGGAACGGGGTGCCGAAGCGCCGGTTACCTCCTACAAGATGTTGGGGGAGGTCACGCAGAGTTTTAAGCTGGTGCCCCAAAAATTACAAAAATGAGCAGGAGTTGAACGAATCTCTCTGGAGAGAGCCGATCCCGCCGTGTGCTCCACTGTGAAAGAGGCTGAGCGGGCACTTGTCTGCCCACACAGGTTGGGCACACACAGAAGCAGGGCCTCGGCTCACCATCTCCACACACAGGGAAGTCCTTCCGGGGGAAGACTGTCCTTCCGACAGAGTCACTTCGGAATTCCTGTGCCACACCCCAGGATGTGAAATTACACCCAGAAACCAAGGAGCAGCCAATGAATGTCTTGAAACACAGGTGGGATCTATTCAGAACAGCGGGTCCCAGTTAACAGCCCGGCTCCCATAGTCTTAACCAGCTGAACTTCCCAAGTCCCACACAGAACATGCTGCAGTAGTCCAAGCGATTGCGCTGGCAAGGGCAGAGCTTCCAGGTGGAAGATCAACCAGAGTTGCTGCGTCCGCACACAGAGTGAGGTTTAACCTCTCCCTGAAAACCTGATCTTCAAGAGGAGCTGCATCCACATCACTGGAGCCTCCTATCAGCCTTCCTTCTTGCCCAGACTGCATTTAATTCAGTAGCCCAAATCCAGCCCATTAAAGTCTCCAGAAACCACCAAATTTGGGCTAGGTGGAAATGACCAAAGAGGTGAGACTGTGATAGCACTTCAAAGCACTGGATGGCCATATGGAGGTTTCCTGTAGCCATCAAACAGCACAGAGACATGGCAAAATCTTGCATTCCCTCATAGTGCAAGTGTGGGGCCACTGTCCCCCAGTTTAACTGTCCATGTAGGAACAAAGCCACTGGAATGCAATGCCTCCAGTTCTCCTCCAAGACAGTCAGCCTGGAAAGATGCTGTGGCTGATGGCCTGAAGGCCACCAAGCTCCAGGAGAGTCAAGAGGCTGCGCCTGCCGGGTTCCTCCCAGGACAGCCCATCATTCCAGGTAGTTTCTCTTCCAAAAATGCTGGAAGGAACACCGAAAGGGATGCAGATCATCTCTCACATCCAGGATGGTCTGGACTCCAGCATCTGCTCCAGCACTTTGCTCAAGGACAGTTCTGTGTCCAGGCAACAGGTGGACGAAACCTCGGCTTTTCCCTAGGAAGTCTCACGGCCACATCCTCACAGTGGCTGGGGTCCTGACCCCCACCCGCCCTTCAGGAGGCACCCCCACAGCCACGGACGAGCATCAAGAGGACAGCCTGTCTCCAAGCAGCCCGGCAACCCCTTTAGCCTGCAAGAGTGGAAAGCCCAGTGAGCAACAGTGGGGAGAAGGGCTGGGGGAAGGGGGGCCAGCGGGGAACACACGGCACCAGGGCACCCCAGGCCCCTTTCCAGGCATCTGAAAAGAGGCCCTGCCCCCTACATTTCTGCCCTAACCATGGTCCGGCACTGCAGACCCACCTGGCTCCCTGCTTCAAAGATGCAAATCTTCCTATCCCGAGTATCTGATGAGGCCGGAGAACCCTTTCCATGCCACTGCCTGAGATGCGGCTCTATCGGGAATAAGGGCCTGGCACCCCAGTGCTTCCAGAGGCCACCAGGCCTGGCCTCCCCCTGCGGTCCCCCACCTCCTGCCCTCCTCCCGAGTCCTCACGGCCCACCCAGCTGCTGGAGGCCAGCTCTTGCCAACACTCAGCGCAGGCACGGAAAAGCCGCCTGGTGCTCTCCGCGTTTGTCGGCTGCTTCCTGAAGGGCCGGTGGGATTCCTGGCTACATGCCGCCCAGCCGCTGCCTGCTAATACCCAAACAGCCTTCCCCTCTGTCTGTATTCAAGATGCCGCCCCCGCAAACAAGCCAGTCCCCGCGGGCCAGCAGCCAGGATCCAAATCTCAGTCGTAACTCCAAAATAGTCTACAAGGGATACGCAAAGCTACTGTGACAATAAGTCAACTCGAATCCGATTAGCATCAGCACTTTAAAACCGCAAGCACTCTGGGGAGGGGGAGACCAAAGAGCTACGGGGGTGGGGGCGGCGGGGGGAGAACGTGCAGAGGAAAGGGCCGTGTCACGGGAAGAGCGCCAGGCAGCTGCGGAGATGAGAGGAGGAGCAGGAAAGGGGGCAGGAGGAGAGGAGGCAGGGAAATGAGTGGGGGGCGGACAAAAGAGGGCGAAGAGCACCCGATGAGCAAGCACAAGCACTTCTAAATGGGAGGGGGGGAAACGACCCTTTAATTCTATGCCTGATCCTTTCTTTTCTTTCAAGCTGGAGAAATGCGATCTTCCCACAAGTCCTTTCCTAGAGCGCTCTGCAGAGGAATACGCACAAGGACCACAAGAAGTGTTCTGGCCCTCAAGATGTTCCTCATTTCGCACAGGGAAATGGGAACAAACGTGCAAAACTGCAGAATCAGACTTGGATGGGACCCTCTTAGGAGCCTGGTCATATCGGAACAGCAGCTCTCCGATGTTTCAGACCTGTTTTTCCCTGCCTGAGGTCTCTTTGGGAGGATGCCGAAACCGAACCCGGGACCTTACAGAGGCAACGAGCTCTCCAAACCTTCAGATTTCTTTTTTGCAGTTTCCAGACCCCAAGGAGGAAAGGAAAAGGGTGGCTTGGAGGAGAAGTGAATTGATGACAATTTAACCAGTAATGGGTTAAACAGCTGGATCCTAGCTGGACTGCGCCACCTGGTGGCCAAAACCTAGCAGCACAATCTGCACATGGAACAAAAGGAGAAATGGGCTCTTTTTAAGGCAAGAGTTTTTGCACCAGTTTCCCAAATGGGACGGCTGAGCCACCAGCTATAAACATCTGGGAAGGCTCTGAGATTGCTCAAGGGCTCACCTTGGTGAGGACGTTCACGTACTGCTTCAGGGCGGAAAGCCGCTCCTTCTCCAGGTAGGGGTAGCGTGCAGCCTCGCTCCTCAGGGTATACACCACCGCTGACTCCACATCGGCCATGTACACCTTCTTCCTGTGGCAGAAAAATGGCCAGAAGATGGACGGAAGGACAGAAGGACACACGCCCAGGGCCTCATCCACCTGCTCCTTTGACACCCTCCGGCCCACTGGCCATCAACCGAGGCAAAGGCGCTTTGTGGAAGGAGCCCCTGCAGGCGAGGCCCCCATCCACCATTCCCTCTTTCAATGAGCCTCTTAAGGAGACCATGGAGGGCAGTCGTCCAACGCCCTTGCTCGTTGCCACAGCAAAAGTGAGAGAGTCTTGCGGTGCCTTCACAAGGAATAACTGTATTCTGGCACACGTTTCAGCGGGCTTTGCCACGCCAAGTAGGGTCTACCCATAGATCTTGGGCGATGCAAGATGCATCCAGACTTTCTTGCCGCTTATTCCATGAACAGGTACAATCCTGAGCCTGTTTATGTTTAGGCAGAGAAATAGTCTGACGGCTCCCAGCATTTCCCAGTCAGTACAGGTGGCTGGGAAGGCTGGGTGCTGGAGAACCCTTGATCTAAGCATGTCTCAGACTGTGATCTAAAGGACTTTGGTCTGTGCACTGGAATCCCACTGTGTCCAGAATTAAGGGAAATGCGATCTTCAGAGAGAAGCTGCGGCCAAAACCATTCTCCTCCGACGTCTAGGTTTCCATGTGGAGGCAGAGTCCAGCTTGTGCTCCACTGCACAAGGAGACCCCTGAACGCAGAGCTTCCCAGTCTGCAGGGAGCCGGAAACCATCCAAGCACCACTTGGGTGAGCAGAGGCAGCCAGAGAATTGGGAGCAGGCAACTTGGGTGTTGGGACAATGATCACACAGCATTTAGGACTCGCTTTCTGTTCCCCTTCCCACTTACATCGCTCCACGTTATCCTCGCAACAGCAACCCTGCGAGGTAGGCTGGGCTGAGACTGTGGCTGGCTCACCGTCAGCCAGTTGGCTCCAGGACTGAGCAGGGACGAGGACCCAGGTCCTCCTCTGACCACACGGGTGCTCAAAAGCACCTGGAGACACTTACCTGTCCACCAGCCGCCAGGGGGCAACGGTCGTGCTTGGCCCTGCCGTGGGCAGCACGGTGGGCCTGAAGGAGTCGCCTCGAACGACCCCAGGCAACCTCCTCAGATAGTGGGTGTAAGCGGGTCTCGCATCAACGTGCCTGCAAAGGAAGACGAGGGGAGAGTCGCCTGAGACGAGGTGGGCCTCTTTTCTTCCAACCTAACATCCCGCATTACAGACGCCCCACCTGCAGAAGGCAAGGGGAAGAGCAAGCAGGGACACACAAGCAGCAAGCAGCATCTCCTCCTCGGCTGTCACAGACCAAAGACTCCCCTGGGCCAGTTCGGCCCCCCAGATGCGTCCAACCACTGATCGCCTTCCTGTTATCAGTGACGCTGGGGGAACGGCCCCCAGGTGTTCCAGGGGTGCAACGGGAGAAGCAGACCTGGCGCACTCCAGATGGTTTAGAGCAGAGCTCATAGCCCCAAATTCCTGGCCAGCGACTCTGCTTGCAAAACCGCCATCCCGAACATCTGGATGCCCAGCCTAGAGCACATCTCCCCTTTTTCCTGATCAGGGACCGTGCAGCAGGGGAAGGAGGGAATGGTTAGACCAACCCTATCTGGGGATCCTCGGTTAGGAAACGCGACTTCAGTTTCTCCTGCGACTTCCTGCAAGACCCCGCATGCTCAGCGCCGTGCAAACTCATTTCAGGTTTGTTTGTTTGGAGTTTTTATATGCCATCCCATCGCTTAACGCCTCGGGACGGCTTACATAAATAAACATAAATAGACAACATAGTGCCCAACACAAATACAAAAAATATAAATTACACAAATTAAAAACCCCGATTCATTCTGGCTGGAAATTAAAACCTATAGATAATATTAAATGTTGTTAAAATATTGTTTAAATAAAAAGGTCTTAGCCTGGCGCCGAGAAACAAAGAACGACGGCGCCAGGCGGACCTCTCTGGGGAGGTTAGGTGGGCTGCAGCTTCCCGGAAGGCCCGTGCCAAGCAAGTTCTCTTCCCACAGTGTTCTGACCCATAGCGGCTTCTGAACCATCCCTCGGCAGGGTCATCTACCCCGACGGACTGTTTTCTGCAATTTTACACAGAATCTAACATTTGGAGCATGATACGAGCATTTGGGATTATTTGCTTCCTGGCAGACTGCAAGGATGCCCAGTTTGGACTGGGATTCAAGTCCCTGTCTGCCAACATGATGGCTCTTGACCTAAGCTATCAAAGGCCTGTTGCAAGGCAAAAATGGGAGAACCCTGTAACTGCGATTAGGAACAGCAGAATGTGAACGGAAACGAAAAACATAATGTTTCAAAGTGATTTTTTTAGCCTGCGCGATTATACAGGTATGTGGGAAGACAGCAGATCATCTGGGAAACTCCCGCAGGAGAAAAACAGCAAGGAGCATGGCAGACCGTGGCAGGTTTCCGCAAGAGCAGCACGATCTGCATTAATTTTACTGCCTCTGCAGAGGGAGGGGCCCTGTCCTCCAGCCTACAGGGGGCAGGAGCACGAGTCAGGGTTCCCTCCACACGGGCTGCACCGTTTTTTAGCACCACGAGTGAAGCTGTGCATGAGTCAGAGCAGCCCTGAGTTTGTTGTCTGGATCACACCGGTGTGACAGCCAGAGGAGCCCAGACGGGAGCCCAGCCCAGGATCACAGCCGGCTGCTAACAAGGGGTGGGATGTGCTGGGTTCAAGTGCGGGGGAAGCGGGGTGGCCTCCGAGCACATAGCTCCCCTTGCAATCCTCTCCTCCCATTCGCGGCTCAACCACAGACAGGTCGGCCTCCCTTTCTTCAGGGGAGCGACACGAAGGAAACCCGGGAAGGGCGAGCCGACTTTCCCTGCCGTCCAAAGCAGAACCCATGGGGCGGAAAGCTGCCCGCCAGTGCGGGAAGCCGGCGGGGCTCGCAACAAACCCCCGGGAGCCGCAGGCCGGGGTGTGCCGTGGCCCTCGGCTTGCTCGGCCCATCAGGGCCTCTCCACAAGCAGGTGGCCGCGAGGCTGCAGCATCGCCCCGAGCAATCCTCCCCTCCGCCGGCGCCACGGGAAGGAGAACAACGGCCCGCCCGCGGGAGGAAGCGGGCAGGGGGCACTGCTTCCTGGGGGGCAGCCCCCCGGGAAGCCAGCTCCGACCTGGGCGGACCCATCACACCCCTCAGCCCCACTGGAAAGCCCGGTGCCAGCACAGCCCTTCGCCTGCCCCACGGCGGGCATCAATCACTCGCTAAGAGCTGCACGAGCCTGCGGGGTGGGGGGGGCGGGGGGGGCAGGAGAGGGACCATCTGTTTGCTATTGAGCGCGTTACTCAGCAGCAGGTCCCATTGTTCTCCGCCAGCATCTCAGGAGCAGCCATTGTCTGGCTCCTAATGAACTTTTCTGCAATTAGGAAAGCATGCGGGAGGCTGCCTGCCTGCCAGCCCTTTGGAAGGCTCTTCCATCAGTACGAAACCCGAGTGACGCCGTCCACCAGGCGCCTTGTGCAGGCGAGGAAGAGCATCGCGTCCGGAAAGAGATCGCGAGCGGCAGGAAACGAGGGCCAAGGACTCGCAATGGGGCACAGGAGCCCCGCCACCGCGGTCCTCGGCAGGCGTCGGCCACCCGGCACGGCTCACGCGGCAAGAGTCCAAGCGGCCATTTGCAAAGGCAAGCTGGGGGGCACTGCTCACCCTGAATGCTTTCCGGCACTGAAAAGCGGCAGGTGTTCCAGGCAGGATTCCCGGGCGAGAACAGGCTGAGGCACACCATGAGGTGAGACGGAAGAGGCCCGTGGCCGCAGCGTGCAGGCGCTACGGCTTCCCCCAGGGTGTTCTGGGTATCATGCCTGGCGGAAGGGCCGAGAAGTTCTCTGGCCCACCGTTCCACAGAACTCCAGCCCTCGGGGCCTTTGTGCGGGAACGGCTGCCAACCCGCCCAACGCCGTCCTACAGATGCACGCAGCCAGATCAGCACACTGCTGGCCCTGCACCCGAGCCGGCTGGAGCCAGGGTCAGACTAGATGGCCCGGGAGACCCCTTCTGACTTGCTCTGTTTCTGCGTACTCACCTCAGGTGTGGTACCCACTTTTAATTTAAAAAATACAAGTTCCTCTGCCTTGTTCTGTTTCTCTCACCACAGTGTTTCCCCTCCCTACACAAGATCCGGAGAAAAGGTACAACCAACTCTAAAATCCTGCAACAGCAGCGTTGGCAGGGGCCCAGACGGCCATTGGATCCAGCCCTCTGCTCGATGCTGGACTCCGAGTTCAAGCACCCCTAATGCACTGCTGCCCACCTGCACCTTGAAGGCCTCCAGGGTGGGAGAGCCCTCAAACTCTCTAGGGAATTGCGTCCATGGCTGCCCCGCTCTCAGAGTCAGGAAGTGCTTCCTGAGGTTCAGCTGGAACCTGGCTTCCCGTAACATGAGCCCGTTATTCCATGTTCCATACTCTGGGATGGCTGCGAAGAGATCCCAGCCCTCCTCTGTGGGACAGCCTTTCAGGTACTTGAAGAGGGTCTGCTCTGCTCTCCTCTCAGCTAAACATGCCCAGTTCTTCCAGCCTCTTCTCACAGGTCTTTCTTTCCAGTCTCCTTTTATGGGAGACCGATGCTTAAGAGCCTCCTTCCTCCAGCTGCTGCCCTCCAGATGTTCTGGAGGATATGTCCCAGCATGCTCAGCCAGCAGAGTGCAGCAGGTGGCGAAGGCCGCTTCAGAGGTTCCAGGTGTGCGGTGCCAGGCGACCGGAGCGGAACGGACGTGCCATTCCCTCGCCCGGCTCTCTGTCTGCCACATCAGCACTCCTGATGCTTCACCCAAGAACGCTCCCAGCATTTCCACGCCCTCCGCGAACAAAGAAACTCTTCAGGCTCCGTGGGCTCGTCCCTAAGCAACCTTTCCACTCAAGCAACACCCAGGGGAGAGAGCCGCACCCCTCGCTTCAGAGGCCAAGGGGTGCTCCCTCCAGGAGAGGCTGCCGTGCGTCAGTGCAGAGTCCAGGCCAGGCTGGGCAGCAGGCAAGCGCCTGCATGTCCAACCGGCTGGCTGGAAGCCCCCCGTGGCGATGCGGGAGCCTGGGACCTGCCCACCTGAATTGGAGCTGAACCTGGGAGAAGAACGTCGGTGTTCTGGCACCTCAAAGAGACGTCTAGGGATCTGTAAGTGGCTGGGTTTGCTTTGCAGATGACCCAAGGGCAAACTCTCTCACGCCGGAAACGACAACAGGATTACAGGAATCCTGAACATAAATGTATGATTACGTGATAAAACCTGAAAACGCTTTTGTTGCTGCATTTTTCAAAGCCAGAAAGAGACTGGTGGGAATTACTCACAGGGGTTAACTAGTGGAGATGGGCTGGTCTATCTGCCCCCCGACCTTCCCGACACAGCAGAGTGTCCTGTCCCCCCCCCCCCCCCCGGCCACACACACCCCAGTTTGTTCCAAGCATCATGCAAGCCAAAGCTGAATCACAGGAGTCAGCATTCAGTACGCGCATCAACCAGGCCCTCCCCAATTTAAGCGCTGGGAATCCACACATGCACAGCTGGACTCGCCTTCCCTAACGTGGGCCGCAAGTCCCATCAATCCCAGCCAGCGTGGACGGGCCATGGGCGACCCCTGCTGGCACGATCGCCACAGCAGTGCCTCTCACTGCAGGGACGTCGCGGGGCCCTGGGTGAGGCAGCTCCGCTACTGTGCCCGTGCTCCCAGGCCAGAATAGACGCTGCCGCAGCGGGACTTTTAAAGCCAAGCGATGTGGCGCATGGGAAGCGGATGCCCACTCAAAGCACCGCTGTGGAAAACAAGGAGGGGGCGCATGATGGCCACCCCAACTCACACGGGGATCCTGCTGCAGGAGCCGTTGTTGAACAGCAAGTAGGCAGACGGGAAAGCGGTGACGTTGAACCTTTTCACGAGCTCTTCGTTGCTCTCCAGGACTCGCCTCACCGCAACGTTCTTAAAGTTCAGCATGTCCAGAGCCACCTAGAATCAGGAATTGCCCCTGTTAGTGCAAAGCTTCCACAGCCAAACGCAACAAATGCTCCCCACCAGAAAAGCCCGTTCCTTCCACAAGCTGCTGCGGCGGCGGCAGCTCACACGTGCCCCGCACTGCCGGCTCCGGCCAAACCCTCCCTGCGCCCATCTTGCTCACGATTAGTGGATCAGGGCCTGCTTTGCCCGCCACCGCATCACCTCCATTTGACCTCAGCCCTGTCCCTAGACCAAGCACCGGCTTCCGGCTCCATCAGTCCCTCTGCAGAGCGGCACTTGCACACACGAAGCCACTGGGAATCCTGAGCACAGACAGCTGCCGATCATGTGCAGAGACCGCGTGTGCGGGCTCCCCTTAGCAGGTAGATGCCCAGCCAAACATGGGGTCCCGGGGCCGGCCAGTGGGGACCCACATCCTCCTCTCTGTGCTGACAGCACTGCAAGCAGTGTCATCGCAACAGGTCTCTAGAAGGGCTCCTTGGCCACTTGCCCTGAAGGTCTGGTGTCACAGAGACAATGACAAACGGGCGGATTCTCCCCAGTCAGAAGAGGCAGGGCTGAGTGTCTCATCGCTCCAAGCACAGTCCTGCTCCACGGCCAGGCATCCACCCAAAGGTTCGCAGAACCACATGGAGGACGAAGAACATGTGAAGGGAAACGGCACCAGGGGTGGGCGAAGGGGTAGAGTGTAATATGGGTTCTTCCAACCAGGAGGATCCTGAAGGCGGCCTCTGTGGGAGCAAAGTTATTTGCAGCACGATCTGATGCGGCTGCCCAGGAGCCTCCGAGGACGGGAGAACCATGAGCAGCCCAGGTCGCTTCCGTGCTTCTCCAGCCCGGCAGAAGACTCAAAGTGGCTCATTTTGTGGGGACAGGCTGGGGTGCAAGTAGGACACATTTCAACCCGGCCTCCCCCCTCCGGTTCCCGCACCTCCGAACACCCACCCAATGCTGGGCCCAAGGTCAGGCTTCTGACCTCAGAGGGCTTTTTCCCACACCACCTGCACCTGGGAGTGCTCCAAATTTGGGGCTCCGGCTCCAACTCCAGAGCACGTTTTTGAGGTAGGAGGTTTCTCATGGGCATCGGGATTCTACAGGCAGCCACACGGTTGCATCCCGACTGAAAGAGCTGGGCGTGGACTCTGTGGTGGCCCAGAAGAGAAGCATCAGCAAAGGCGTATGGCACCTTGCTTGCTCTTCACTACTGAGGAGTCAGGGCTAAGCGTCCCTCCCTTTGCTTTTCAGGCCTGAAGGATTCCCCAGAGTGCTTGTCCGATCAAGCCAGCAGGACAGAAAGAAATGGGGAGAAACAGGCTAAGAAAGGATGATAAACGGGGCAGGGATGAAGACGGCAGCCGATATAAGGGAACAGATACAAGGATCAGAAAATACACAGGAGAGAGGAAAATCTAAGGGGGGCTCTAAGACAGGAAGGAAGTGGGCACGTTAGAAACAGGGTGCTGGGGGGGCCCTACAATCTGCCTGGGTGAAAGGGAGGCAAGAACGGGAGGGGGAGCTAGAGGGCAACAACCCTGCAGCCCCGTGCCGGATCGGTTCTCCTTTCAGGCCAGCGGAGAGTCGATCCTCATGTGGAGGCCTCCATCACGCCAAACTGAGCGCCAATGGGAAAGGGTCTGGGGCACCGCTGAACCTGAAGCTCCACTGGCATTCTAGAGGGAATTTAATTAGAGCAGTGAAAAAAGTAATTCAGAGGAAGCCGAATTGGTGAACAATGTCACGGAATGTTTGCTCGGGCAGAAAAGGGGACTCTCAGGAAAATCCCTGCGAAATAACCTGGCAGTGGGAACGCGCCCCCTCTACCCCACACAGCCTCCTGTGAAACCCGTGGCAGGCATCCAGCATCATTAATTCTTTAAAGTTCATTAGAATGCTTGGTTAAGAAGTGCATTAAGGCACACGCAGCGTGCATTTTTCTTTAATTGCCAGTAGGTACAGCTAGGCAGATACTCCAGCACAGTTTGTACCTTGCGGTGGTTAAGAACGATTCTCCTCGCTCCCTCTCTCCACCCCAGTTCCTACCACACGGTTGCTCGGGGGCAGGATGTAACAGTCCGGGGTATTAACCATTTAGGACACCTGTTCAGCCAGGTGAATGCAGCCTGCTTGTGGCCTTCCCCTGAACATCCGGTATCCCAGGCAAACCTTCCCGTTTTGCATGTTGAAGATTATTTTTTTGCAATACGTGGCTTTTCTACCCTGCTCTGTGTTGCACAGATGTGCTTGCTGCAGCAGTGGCCACCTGTGGAATCGCTGGTTGTGTGAACCGGGCGTGGCAGGGAGAAATTATCCTGCCACATGTCAGAGCGGGCTGCATGGCCAGGGCCCATCTGCCTCACTCGATAGAAAGAAAAAAGGAAAACAAATCTCCTCCAGGCCTTCAGGGAAGGAAACCTTGCTGAAGTTGGATTCTGTACCTCTATCCACCTAACAAATACCTGCGGGCTGCCTATGTCTGTACACATGCCTGCTTTTTCTCCATTTAGGCCTGAAGTTGCTAGGTGGGGAACGGAGGTCATGCTCATTTCCCTGCTCCCCTTCTGTGCCTAAAATTACTGGGGGGCTTTAGCTCTGCAGCACAGAAGACACTAGTCAGTGAAGCCCCAAGAAAACCCCTTTCCCAGCAGGCAGGAAAAGAAACTGGAAAGCAACAGGACACGTGTGCTTATCCTCCAGTTGGATCTCTCTCCTCTCCACTGTTAAATCCCTCCCTGGGACCCATTTTCTCTGGGAGTTGGAGCAGGAGCAGGAAATATCAGCCCCCAGGAGAAGAATTAAGGGGTCTATACTCGCCCATCTAGAGAAAGGGGCATTTCCCTGCCTCCTCTTACTGGAAGCATGGGTTGGCAAGATGCTCTCATGCTTCGGGGCAGCTGCCCAGCAGCGACACCAGCCGCAGAAGGTGCAGCCCACGCCAAGGCAGCTTCCGTGACTCACCCGGGCCGAGGAGGAGGTGCGGAGACTGCCGGTGACGACACACAGGCAGCCTCCGAGTGCGTGTGCGTGTGGGAAAGAGGGCGATCCCGTTAATACAGGTAGAGCCGGAATGGCACAGGAGCGAGGAGGTGCTGCACTGCCCTTCCCCTCCTCTCCAGCACGAGCGGGGTGGAACCGCAGCTCGCCTTCCGAAACTAGTTACGCGATGGGACTGCCTTGCTGAATTTCCAGTTGTGAAGGGATGGAGAGCTAATGGGGCATCCGCTGGAGGAGAGCAAGCCAGAGAGAGACGCAAGACGCTCCTCTTCCAGCTCTTTCCTGCCGCCTGGGTTTTTCCACATGCGCTAGGCTCCCAATACTGCGGGGCCTCAGTCACGGAGAAGAACGTGAAGGTCGGGCTGGAATCTGGCTCCCTTGCGCTCCCCAGGTTTCATTTCCACACTCAGCCTGACCTGGAAGCGAGCTCAGCTGAGAGAAGTCCACAAATGCTCAGGAACACCAGTGGCTGCTTTGCTCAAATAGCCAAGCCTGCAAGCCCCATGAGTGGGAGCGGAACTCTGCTTGAACCTGCCCCCTGCCAGAGGCCTTCAGAAGCACTCAGCACAGCGGGGGCCTAGGGAAGAGGAAGTGGGCCGGAGTCCAGGGAGTCAAGCGGAGGAGCTGCCCTGGATGCACAGCCCCGAGCCAGGTTCTTCCCACATCCCCAGTCACAGAGGCAGCCCTCAGCAGAGCCCGGCTACCTGTTACTCTTCCCACCCAGGAGCTTCGTATGAAAGGCAAAGAAACTGGCAGAGAGAGCAGGAAGAGATAAAATGCATGCAGAAAGGGGGGAGGGGAGAGGAAGGGAGGGGGCAACAGCCAGTCCCAGAGACACTAGCCCTTCTTAGCAGCCGATGTCCCTCATTCTTTCACTCCCCAACTCTTCTGGGAAGTTGGCTGCCAAGAGCAGAGAGGAGAAGAGGAGCAATAGACCCAGGAAGACAGCCGAAGGGTGGGCGCATCGCATGTGAGCGTGAGGATGGGCCCGTATGTTGTGCTCTCCCCCTGCCCGTGACCAGAAGAGCCGTCGGAATCTCAGCTGGCCAAGTTCTCACATGCTCCCGCAAGGCGGTGCATCCAGGCTTCTTGCCTGTGGCTGCATGCGCATAGGAGTTCCCAGCTTGGCTGGCCTGACTCGGACCGAAGCCTAGCTTGGCCTGCCAGGAAATGCTGCAACACAGGATTTGTGCAAAGAGACCCTTCCGTGCTGTGTAGATAGCCCACATCCACTTTCTCCAAGAATGTTGTTTGCAGTCAGGTTGCTCACACATGCGATCACTGAGAAGCAAGCAAGCAGTTTCTCTGTAACCCTGAATTAAAGATGCCGGTTAGCAGAAGGTACGCAGGCTTCCTGCTCAAAGATAATGCTGACTATGTTGGGCGGGTCTGGACTCTGCACGAGCGAACCTGCTAAAATATTCCAACTACATGGAAATGTTGCTTTGTTTGGAAAGCTAAACACTGGATTAGTTTCGGTATCTCAGGAGTACACCGTGTGCCAACTCGTCCTCCTTTGCACTCCTTGCGGTGAGAGCGCTGGACAGGCTAGGAAACATCTATCCATGCCTTGCTTAGCATTGAGTCTGAATCAGAATCCAGGCCAGGGTTTGCTCCAGCTTACAAGTCTGGCATGTGAGCAGAGCAACAACCAGGGTTCCCAGTAACACTGGGCAAGCCACAGGCCGCAGGTTCCTGCTTTCCTTAACCGCTTCAGCTGGGCAGAAGGATCTCTGCGTCCCGCTTCCCCCGCACGCCTGCACTTTGACGCACTGGGGCGGACAGCTTGGCAGCCTGAGTTGCTCAGAGCCGAGTAGCTATGCTCGTTTTCTATGTGGTGACGAAATCCTGCTTTGCCACCTCTCGGGCCCGGTCCTGCCGCACCTCTCCGCACTGCAGTGGCTGGCAAAGGTGAAGACCGACTGCAGCCTCACTGAATGCACAGTGCGCCTCCAGAACAGGACTGCCAACTGTTCCCCAAAGGGTCCCCCAAAGAAGGGGGACCTCACGCAAGGAGCCACCTCCTGCAAGGGAGGAAGGAAGGAAGATGCGGGAGCAAAGCTTCCCACAAAGTGGCTAGCTCAGATGAGATTTCTGGAAAACAGGACTAGTCCACCTGCTTGTGCATACCTGTGTTAAGTGCTTCACGGAATAAAGAGGAAAAAAAGACTCTACTTGTGTAAAGTTTCCCTGCCTGGCTGCCTGGAGGCTGTTCTGATGCATGACAGCCAAATAGGTACAGAAAAGCCCTTTCCAATTCATACGGATCTGTCAGTCCATCAACAATCACCTCTCTGCCCAAGTAGGATCCTTCCTTCTCAAAGATCAGGGCCAGGTAAGTCACGCGGTTAGCCTGGAAGAAGCTGTGAAGTCCTGCCGTGCTGCGGAAGAGAAAGAACGTTACTTGCTGTTCCAAGATCAACATTTCTTTTACGCAAACTGAAGGCTGCCCAGCTCCCCCCTTTGACGTGCTCAGCATTTCTGCCGTCTGTAAGAAACAGCAGGTTCCCTTAATCTGGCTGAATTTGTGCCCCCGTGGGAGATCACGGAGCGGCAGGGTCGCCGCTTGGTTCTCCTTTGCCTGGTGTTCTAACTGGGCCAGTTCCCAGACTGCCTGCCCAGTGCCCAGCACAGAAACTGAGTCCTTGGAAATTTTCCTGGCAAGAACATGGGGAAAAGTCCGGCTGCACATCGCGGGGGACCAGAGTTTGCCTTTGTTTGAGGCCGTCCATCTCTGTAAGACGTAGCAACGTTTATCCCTTGCCTTGGCATCGCTACACTAGGATACATAAACACAGCGGAATGGCTATATTACCAGGTGAGGGGTACCATTTTTGGTGGTGTCTCTGTCTCTCTCTCTCTCTCTGTCTCTCTCTCTCTGTCTCTCTCTCTCTCTCTCTCTCTCTAATATACAGGTGCAGGGGACTTTAAAGTGCAGGGGACAGGTGCAGGGGACTTTAAAGTGTTTTGGTCACGGACCAAAACACTCAGAAGGTCCCAAATTTGGGAAAGCTCCCCCGGAGAGTTAAAGTGGGATACACTTCTTCACCTCTCCTTTGGACAGCAGGGAAGAGGGAATGGATTCTGCCCATCAGATCGACTTTATTCACTCACTCATTTATTTATTAGATTTATAGCCTGCTTTTTCTTGCAACAAACTCAAAGCGGCTTACATCATTCCCCTCCTCCTCATCAACTACTTCTCTTGCGTCCCAGAGAATTGTGATCTGGCAAAAAAAAAACACCCCCAAACCCTCTCTAGGCTTCCTCCTTTCCTCTGCAGAAGGAACAGGCTAACCTGGTGGCCAGCCACAGAATGGAGGAGGTAGGCGATGGAAGCACCAGGAGCTCCTGTGGAGCTAAGTCCCAGGCAAGGCACGGCAGAAACGGAGGAGCGGGAGGCTGAAGATGGCCCACAACGAGCTGCGACTGCTCAGACCAGTCCAGAGCACAAGCCCAGAAGCCTCGTCAGATGTGAGGGATGAGGAACTTCCTTGCTCCTTTGGCCGCCCGACACGTGGTTTCCTCCTTCGGCCAGAGGCGAATGAGGAATCGCCATCCAATACAACTCCGGCTGTCAGTTCTAGGGGCCCTGCAGCCCCCAGGCTTCCAGGAGCCTCATGGATCTTGCAGTCTTTGGAGTTTGGCGCCTCTGTGACAACACGGTGGCCCAAGACAGACACTCGCTTCCTGGTTCGCTCCAAAAGGGACACAGGCATGACGACTTCCCAGCCCTTTGTCTCCTCTCAGCCGCCTGGCCCCACGACCCTCTGCACTGCTTCATGGTTCGCACTTTGATTTCGGGAGTCCGTAGGGGCAATGGGAGAAAGTTTCACGATGCTTGCGAAGCGATTTCCTGAAAACCTTTCAAGAGGTGCTTCAGGAAAAGTAAACAGCTGCTACAACCCAGCCTGGGCAAACCTTCCTTACCGTCGGGGCAGGCGATGATTATCCCTTGATATCCAGACTTGCAGGCAGACGGCCCTCAGAAACGGGCACGGCTCCAAGCCTCCCTTCGCAGGAGACCATCAGCTCCTGCTTTCCCAGATCGCTCCAGCTCCGAGCGCAGGAGCAGCACTGGACCCATCGCGACCCAGCGAGGGCTCGAGCGGGAGGCAGGCCGCTCCCCTGCCCAGCAGGTACCCCAGCAGTGAGACAAGCCTCTCCCAGCGCCGGGAACCCGTGAAGAAACGCCACGTGGAGGAAGCACCGAGGGCAGCCCCACAAGCGCCACTCCTCTCGGTCAAGCTCCATGCTCAACCGGGCCCCCCGAAGAGGCAGGAGCTGCACTGGGGTCCGTGGGTCTGGGTCACCCTTGTTTCTTTTGACGAGGCAAGCATCTCTCATCGGCGTTCGTTCAAGGCTGTGCTCTCTCCGGCCGCCTGGCAGGTTCTATTGAGTAAATTATCTCGTACTGGCTGGGGCAGCATGCAAATGTATTTCCGTGCGGTTGATGAAGAGGCAGATTATGATCAGTAAGAATCTTTACTTGGTTGGGCACCCTGCCTGAGGGTAAAAATGGGCGCTCCACCTTGTCTGTGGGAGCAGGAATGGATCCCTTGAGAGGCTGGGTGAGGCTGTGCCGTGCGTGTCCATCTCTACATGATGGCCGGCAAGAATTGTGGGCCTGGGCCCGAGGAAGAATCCCAAGGGGAAGAAGAGATGTAAGTAAGAACAAAAGAAAACCCCTGCTGCATCAGACCCAAGGTCCAGCAGGCAGGGTGGAAGCAAGACCTGCTGCTGGCCGAGCTTGCAGGCAGGCCGCCTCGGGTCCTGGAGGGAGCAGAGCGCGTGGCCAGCAAGGCTAACTGCCTCTGGTAGCCTTCATAGATCTAGGAGGCTGGCCCTTCTCCGGCAAGGCACGCTCAGGGGGGTGGATCCCAGGGTTCCTGCAAAGGAGGATTCACGGAAATAGTTTCTAGTTTGGGTTCAACAAAGCACTCTGTGAATGCTCAGAGGCTCTTCCTCTGTTGGCTATTTGTTTGCTGACTGAATGTTGGAAATAAAGTGCTTTTGCACAGAAGTGCCTGTTGGTTGATTGAGAGAGAGAAGGGGGCAACCCAGCCCCCGACTTACAGGTCTCAGTTGTCAGGTGGCAAGAACCCTTGAATCCACAAGCTTTGCGCCAGGCGTCTTCAGTACTGCGCTTCTCCTTCTCCCCAGAATGGTTTAAAGCACAAGCTGATGAAGTTCACGCAGAAAAAGGATTGCCCTGGCAGAAAGGGGGCTCAAGGACCATCCCTGCCCAAACATGCAGAGGATCTTGTCTCCCTCCCCCCCCCAACCCAGCTTCACGGGGGACTCAGCCGGTCGCCAAGGGAATGAAGAGAAGCTCATAAGCCCCTTCGCTCTGATGTGCTCCCACCACCCAGCGCATCTCCTTACAGGCGCCGTATTCACATGGCACCTTCATGAAACAAACCAAGTCCGCAAAATCGTGCGAGCTTTCACACTGAAAACTCTTTTGTTGGGGGAGCTGCTACAAGAAGCAGGGTAGTGGGAGGGAGAGACGGGAAGCGGAAACACGTTATTTGGAAGCCGTGATGCCTTGTCAAGGGACTAAAGAGACCAAGCACTTGGAAGCTGCCAATTCAAAACCAAAAATCAAAGGGACACGGAAGGTGACATGGAAGAACCGTGCATTGCAGTAGCAGCTCTGGCCCATGTCCAGCCTTGCCCAGGGATTTCAGGAATTCTCCTCTTAGTCAGACCATCAGCTCAGCTCACATGTCTGATATGTACCAATTGATGCTTCCTGCACATAAACAGCACCTTCCCAACCACAACTATTGTCCTTGCGTAGGACAAGCCAAGGTCCAAGACGCAATATAGACCTTGCATGACATCACAGCTCTAGTTGCTATTCCACCAACTCCTTAGCCCCTTCTGTTACCCATATACCTAAGCCAATAATGAGGGGACTGAACTGTAGGAGTCTGGTGGAAGGGCTTTTTAAAAGCACAGGTAACTTTTTCAAAGACTTTTTCTATGTCTTTACAAAATCATTGCTCAGTGTAAAAATGCTAGAAATATCCCAGCTAAACATCCCAGAGCCAAATAATCTAACCACTACATCACTGTTATTATAAACGCTATTTCTGATCAATAATTTTTCATCATACTGGGTAACATGGTATAATATAAAGAGCAGCATTTACAGAAATAATGTGTAGCTTATCTAGAACATAGAAAGTGCACTACTATCTCAATCTTGTTTAATCTGGGCATAACCTAGGAAAAGATACATCATCTGGTCTTGGAGGTCTGCAGCTAAAGGGCTAGATAGGGGGAACTGGCAAGGAGAAATTCCTGAGTTACTGCTTTTAATCCTAGCGAAGGTGTGAAAGCTGTCAGGGATACAACTAATATGTCTGAAACATGGCACTGCAGGAGAGTTTTGTGAATGTGCTGGTCCAACCGAAAGACCAGCAGGCGGGTTCCAGGGCACATCAAGCCAGAACCCCCGGAGCCAAAAAGGGTGTTGTGCTTCGGGAACATCCTGGGAAGGCCAGACTCCTTGGGGAAGAAGTCGTGCCAGGGAAAGTCAAGGCAGGAGAGGAGGAAGACCAGTCAGGAGAACGGACCCACTCCGCCAAGTCCCAGCCTGGCGCTTCCGAGAGCTGAGCAGGGCGTGGCTGTCAGGGACAGGACACGTCGGGGCGCGTCCCTTCCCAGGGCCACCGCAAGTCCACGATGTGCCCGTGCTGAGCATAGCTGCCTATGCTTAAGAACATACCCCACTGCCTCTGCTGACACTGATCCCCACTTCCTTGATCTCAACCCTTCCTCCCGCTCGCTTGTCTTCCTCACTGCTGACTTTAGATTGCAAGCTCCTTGGGGGCAGGGACCTGACGGATGGGAATGACAATACCGACCTACCTTACATGGCTACTGAAATGATCACTCAGATAATCTATGTGAGCGCTCTGAAGCGCTACATAAATACTAGGTGCTTGGATGCTGATGGAGTGACACGCTCAGGGAAACCATTCACCCAAGCGTCTCTGCTCAGATCAAAGCACGGATCCTGTTTGACTCACACTGCAGATGCGCGCGGGAAACGCGGGAGAGACCCATCCTGGAGCAGGCTTTCGGTGAAGCGAGCGACCCTCGTGATCAACCAGGCGGGCATGCTTTCTCCCCCGCCTATTTACCCACGCGAACGTGAGCCTGTTTGTCCGTCCACACCCCCCCCTGCACACGGCACCTTCCGCTTTGCGTCCTCCTGCCAGGTTACCTGATGGGCTCCAGAGGTGGGCACGCAGGCGGCAGCTCGCCTTTGTGGCTCTCCAGCGAGTCGATGATGGACTCTCTCAGGCTCTGGATGTTATCGCCGTGGTCTGTGCAGGGCAGAAAGCACAGAATTAAACCACAGGCCAGCAGAGGTGCACCGGCAGCATACCTGCCACCTGCTCTCAGACAACGGCTCCGTGTGAAACCTGCTGTCCAGGAGCAGCTTGCACCTGCCCTGTTCCCAGGCGATCACTGCATTTGCTCTCCATGTGAGCCCTGCCCACATTCGGACAATGCCCTCGTCCGACCCTGTGCCAGCGGTCTGCACAGAACCTTCTCCCCCTGTCCCCAAGGCCCAAGCCATTTTGGGGCCTGCGTACCGGTGGCTTCTGAGGCCAAAAGCCAGACAGGCAAGCCAAGATGCTGGCTGGCTCGTGCTTCAAGTTCTTGGTGCCAGTAACCGACCTCTGGAGAGGCATTTCAAGCCCCTGGCACAGGGGGAAATGGCACAGAAGCTGAGAAGCCTTCAAGCGGCTGGTGAAGGAGGGAAAGGAGGTGGGGCTGGGGGGGTGCATTTGGGAAGTCACAGTGAGCTGGATTAGGACCTCCAAAGGAACAGATCTGGCCTGTCAGCCCAGGGGTCGGTACCCTTGGTGTAGAAAAGTGGCACCTGAGGATCTGTGCTACCAAGAAAAAGAGGCTTCGGGTTTTCTGACGGCTCGAAGCATCCACCTTGGCACTCCTGTTCTTGGAGTGCGGAACGGGCACTCCAAGCAGTGCGCTGAGGAAGCCGCTTTTCCCTCCGGCTGCTCTTTGCAGAGTTTCCACTTGGGGGAATAAGACGGCTGGAGGAGAGGCAGGTGGGTGCTCCCAGCCACTCCTCCGGTCCCAGCCAGGCCAGGATGACCTCCGCAAGGACCCTCTTCAGGACACCAGAGTGAAGAACCCGCCTCTGAATGCCTCAAGGCAAACTCAAGGCTGCAAGGAAAACACCTGCACTAGGGCTGCATAAACACATTGCTAAATCCAGCCAGGGAACCTCTCCCAGCTTAACTCTTGCCTGGCAGCCGCTGCACAGATTTTACCTCTCCAGAAGCAACCTCTGGTTTTTCCTTCTGGAATGGGAATTCCCTCCTGGGAAGCCATGACTCATCTGGGGGACGCTTTCGGAGCAAGAAACACTCCGCTCTGCAGTGATGAGACTTTACACTGCAGCAAAGTAAGCCAAGTGACGAAAAATACTCTCCCTTCCATGCAAGCAGAAGGTGCTGCCGTGTCCTGGGTTTTGTTAGGATGGGCTGCCCAGGTCCTGCCCTTCGGAATTACTTGAGCAAGACAATCTGCACTGGGAGTAAAGCCTTTCAGGACAGTGACGGGAGAGGGGGGGTGGCTTTCTGCCACCCTGGGGCCGTGCAAAGGGTTGCACGTCTGCATACCACCTGGACGCAGGAGCACCACCAGGTGGCCGTTTGACAGGGCGTGAGAACCTGAATCGGTGGCTTTGGTTCCCACATCACTGCTACCCAGGGTTCCTCTAAAACCTGGGCCTCTGCAGACATTGCTTGCCTGCTCCCATTGGGCCAAATGTTCCGGGGATGCTCTGTCCCCAGGTTGGCATCTCAAAGCCAGATGTGGAATGGCAGGTTTTAGGGGAGCAACAGTTCTGACCTGAAACCCAAGAGCAAGCCATGGGCTTGTCGCCGTGACTTGCTTCCCATCGCCTGTTTCCCTCCGTCAGGAAAAGCATCACTACTTTGATGCCTAGATACTTGTGGGGATGGGAACAGGGATGGAAAGATGGACAGACAGACGGAAGCGGGAGGACTTTGAGGCTAAAGCTATGTTATCGTAACAATGATATTTGTTATTCGATGGTGCAACCGAATGGCGATGCCCAGAACCCTTAAAACTCAGAAATGACAGGCATCCTACTCAGGGTGGGAGAAGCACCGGTGTGAAGGCCGCCTCCATGCTGTGCCCTCCCGAAGAATAAGAGGGTGATGAGCCCACAATTAGCAACAACCTGTAAGTTCAACCGTCTTTACGTGTAAACTGGGACACTGAAAGGTTCCCGGCAATTTTCATGCAACAAGGAATTAATGTTTTCCACCACCGGCTTTAAGCACTGCCTGTTTTATTTAGAGTTTTTTATTTTGACTGTAGGCACACCACTCATTTTCCACTCAGGGGTCTGGGAAAGGGATCCAGGGCTTAGGCTGCACATTCACACCCGGATGCCGGTTCCTCTTAGCAAGCTTAATCGGAAGCACAGCAAGATCCGTCCGAAAGTCTTCCTTCGGCTTTTGGTGCGCGAGCACAGCCCCCGGGGCAGAATCGAAGGGGACACCTCTGCCCCAGCCTTCTGCCCTGCCAATTCTGTCACACAAGCAGCCTTGCCACTTGCGTGCAAGCAACCTAGCACTTCTGGGGCAACCCAAACTGAGCTGAAATTCCCGTTTCTAGGAGGAGGCATAGCTCACAGAAGGGATGGCACATGTGACCTGGCCATCTGCCCCATTAGCAGGCCGTGTGGTCATTGTGCTTTTTGGGACACAGGAATGGACAACAGACGGACGGGAGGGAGGGAGGGAGGGAGGGAGGGAGTCAGCTAAAGGACTTACAGGTGGCACAGCTTGCAGAAGTGAGTCCTGCCAGCTTAACACCTTCCAGAAATCAACATGTTCATTCGTGTCGAGGCTTCCCCTAAGAAGTGCCAATTCCCCCTTTCATGAGCAGTGGGTCTTCCTCACGCAGCAAAACGGAAGTGACCCACTGCTTACAGAAGGGAACCTGGTGCAGGGGGTGTAAGTGCCCTGTCGGATTCTGCATCCAGCGGGCAAAATGGAGACCCGAAACTGGCCTCATACTTCTGACGGTGAGAAGGAAGGCAGGCTGACATCTGCCATACTGGCCAAATCGAGAAACATAAAAACTGTGCATGCGTGGCTAGGAAATGTGAAAGAAATGATGCCTTGTCAAACGACGATTATGGAGGGCCACCTGCGGCTTTGACCACCACGGCCACAGAAGCCCCCCAGAACGGCTTCTGCGTCATCCCGGTGGGGGCCAGGCGGGGTCTCCTCAGTTCTCTCTAGGGACACCCAGCCTGGTAAAACAAACAACCGTTCTAGCTTAGGTAGACATTAGCATCTGAATACGTACGGTAGAGTCTGATGCCATCCTCTGGTTTCTTGGAGAACGCCTTGAAAAACTGGAAGGAAGGAAACCACAAAGTGAACATCTACTTTCAAAGAAGCCCTTTGTTCAACCTGTGACAAAAGCCTGCTGTCGGGGCTGGCTCCTCACCCCACTTCTCGGGCCAAGTTCCAGCACGGAGACTGCGCCCGTCCTTCTCACGGGCGAGGCTGGAGGGAGGATGTAAACAATCTTTTGTGTGTGCTGGTGAAGAGTGACAAACTGGATTTATCTCCCTTGTCTCTGGACAACTTTGTCTCTCGCTCTTTCTCCTCACCTTAGTTTCCCTTTGGCAATTGCCCCAGTGCATCATGGGAATTATGGAGGTGTCATCTGCACGGGCCAGGAGGAAAGCCTGTGGGCAGCAGATGGGCTGATGGAAAGAGCTCACCAAGACTCTACAACGGGTAAATTTTGCTTTTGTCTAACCAATGGATATTATATTGTCTGCACACGGAATGTCATAGAAACAAGTTTAAGGTGCCATTGAAAAAAATAAACAGAAGAGATCAACCGCTGCTTCCCAGTCTGTACCCCCAATCCCCCTACTCCCCATCTTCCAGCAGCTGAACTACCCAGATAGGGCTGCGATGAACCCCTTGTCCGTGCGAGGATGTGTTCACAGACTTCCCCTTGTGCTCGGCTCAGTCTCGAAAGCCCAGCCTAGAGGAGGGGATGCCTGTGAACAGCCAGAAGCCTGCTTCCGCGGCCCAAGCAGCTGCGTGCGGCACGGCACGGAAGAGGAGCGCTGCCAGTGGCCGCGTGGGGCTCTAGTCCTGGTGCCCCTCGCACGACCGCGACGGCGTCATCCGGTGCAGCTGCACGAATGCCGGCCACACGCCGCTGGAACTCGGACTCGGGGCACCGAGCTGGGAGCTGAGCCTGGGGAACCCACCGGTTCCCAACCGCGGGCCTCCTGGTCACGCAGGCAACACAGTTACGGGAATCCACGCACCTTAGGAGCAGGGATTGGTGTGGAGGGTGGGAGAGACCGCGTGGTGAAGGGACCGGACTGGGCTAGAGGCTCAGGTCCACTGGGCGAAATCCTGACACTCGAAGGAAGCCCAGTCAGCCCCTGGGAGGCTTGATAAACCCCGACGGTTACCAGGAGAGGGCCACCGAGCATCTGTGCGTGGCTCGTGAGCTGCCGCTGGCTTGGCGTGCCACAAAGATACGGGCATGCGGCAGCGCTTGATATAATGCATTTCCCCTCGCGACCTGTTAAGATGCTTCCCGGGGCCAGTTCTGCCCCAGTCTCGCCGCAGGACTTTTGTCAAGGGCTGTAAATCTGGGACAGAGGGTGCTTTGAGACCTTCGAAGGCACGAGCTGTTCCACAAAGGGAGCGGATGTTCTTTTTTAAAGCTGATCCAGCCACATGAGAGTTGTTACCCATTTGAATATGAAGCGGGAGGCGCTCGGCTCATGCTGATTGGTGGTCTTGCAAACCAAAACAAGACAATGAAGAGAAGGAACGACAACTCAAACCTCTAGAGCCAAAGGGGGGAAGTGGATCAGCAGTGCTCGCTGGGGCAGGGAGGGGGCACCAGCCCCCCCTCCTAGCAAAGGGCCCAGTGAACAACTTCAGATCTTGCGGCTGCAGGTGGTGAATGTTGTACACGACCCAAGCATCCAGAAACTGAAGGCGTTCCCCCGCCTGGGCGCCTTTCCCACAGCTTCCTACCTTCCTCAGTTTTTTCTCGAGGCCCGAGAAGGGGCTTTCCCTCCTCCTCTTCTCTGCAGCTGAATAATAAAGCCAAGCCTGTTGTGGAAAGCGGGAAGCCAAAGAATTCTGCTCCTAAAGTGGTGCTTGATTGTCACGGTTTCCCCAAACACAAAGGCATCACCTCGGGCTCCTACCCAGTCCCGGAAAATACCGCTGCTGCTTTGTTTGCTGAGCACAGGCTGAACGGGCTGCATCCCAGACAATGCAGCCACGTCACGATTTGAAGCAAGCCGGACACAAGACGGCCTCTGGCTTCCGGAGCGTCGTGAAGCCGGACCTCGTGCCCCACAGCTTGCCGGGGGGGGGGTTCCAAAGAACCAGGGTGGTAGCGAGGACAGGGACGACAGGGGGCACAGGTGGCGCCTATGATTACGAGATGCCTCAGCTGGCAGATCTGCAGTCGCTTCCACCAAGCACCGGACTGCCAACGCATCCCGAAGCAGCAGCAAAAGAGGGAGGGATGGACTGGGAGGCAGAGGCCGGTTTGGCTGAGATGTGGAGGACTCGTGCATGGCTGCAGGGATGGGCGGAAGGCGGACCCCCACCCCCAGGCGGCTCAGACATCCACTCTTGGGATTCCTGAGCCGTGGACTTCTGGGAGTCGAGGTCCAGAGTACTTGAAGCTGCACTGCTCGCCCACCCTGGTATCACCAGGTCCATGACCACTCCTGGCTTCTCCAGGTACGAAAACAGGAACCTCTGCCTTAGACCAAGTCTGCTGCCAGTCACCTGGCTGGGTTCCCTGAGCAACGGCTTGTCCTTGGCACGAGGAAGCCTCGTCCTTTACCGGCTGGCTTTCTCTCTCGTAGGATCAGACCAGCTAAACACTCTGTAGTCCCGCACTGTTCAGTGGGGTTTAGGAGACAGGATTGTGCCTTTGTGGCACACCTCGACCCACATTCCTCAAAAGGGTCACAAAACCCCACCCTGTCCTGCAGGAGAAACCAGCCTGCCTAGCATTTGCTGGAAGTATTGATTTAGATTGCATTTATTTATTAGATTTATATTCCGCCCGTTTTCCTACGAAGACCTCAAAGCGGCTTACAAAGTGGTTGGAAATGGCTGGAAATGGGACCTGTCCTAGGGCTTGCCCCAGGCATGGCTTCCCCCGCTGCCCTTCCTGACGCAGGAAGGAGGACAAGCAGGGCCCCTTTGCCAGGCAGGCACAGTTGTGGCTCCAGCCCGTTGCAAATGCATCGCACCCTCCTGCACTAACCGTACCTGTCCAAAGGTACACAAGCCAAGTGTTTGCTTAATGGGCTGCGTGTGGCTTAAAATCTGTTTGCAGAAGACGACGCACTGCCTTTAAACCGACTGCAGAACAGTGCCACATCACCACGGCACAACGGCAGGGTGGGAGTAAATCTATAGGTTAGGGTTAAATGAGCTACGGCCCTGGGTGGGGACAGGGTCTCTTCCATTTTTGCAGAAATATTAGCTGCAGCTGCAAAGGGAGGAGGAAAGAGGCATGATTTCAGCCCAGGGTTAGGACTGGGGGGCAGTGCCACTGCCACGGGGAAATCAGCCCCACCCTCCAAGGCTGCTATTTCCCCTGCAAGGCCTGAGGCAGGTCCAGACATACTGATAGAATCTCAGAGAACTACAAGGATTCCTGATCCCCAACAGTTTCTCCCAGTCACAAAAGAAACCCCTTCCATTATATGACTGAAATGGAGAAAGCTAGGACTAATGAGGACTAGAAGGATTGAGAGCTCCATTTAGTACTGCTCCTCTGGAAAAAAAATCCTACACTCAGAATCCTGGAGCCCAAAGTGCTTGGAAATTAATGTGGAACATCAAGCAGAGGAATTCCACGGACAGGCATGGCTCCTTTCCACAATGCCACCTTTAATGTGTCGTGAGTGATGGAAATGAAAAAGGGGGGCTAGGTGAGGTCGTTCCTCCTTCTGGAGAATTTCCAGAGATACCTGGACAGGGCTTAAGTGCATGGATTTTGTTCCAATAAAAAATGAAGCCCACCTCACACAGGAGCAACACTGCACTGTTCCGGCAGCACACAAACTTAGCTGCCGGATGATCCTGCAGCTACCCAGGCACTGCCCTGAAGGCTGTAATCTTCAACTTGCACCAAAGATCTCCAGATGCAATACAGAGCATCTGTACATATCACCGCAGCATCAAGATCCTGCCTAATCTTGGAAGCGAAGCAAGATCAGGCCCGGTTAGAATTTGGATGGGTGACTTGAATGTATGATTCCACGATAATTGTTGCAAACTGCCCTGAGAGCTTCAGCTGGGCGAGGGGGAGGGGTAATAGGAATGTCAATGCCGTCATCATCATCACCATCTCCTTATCGAGCAGCAAGGCTAACCCCACCCTGCACCCACATCTCTTTCCAGAAGGAGAGCTTCAAGGCACAGAGAAATGGTTTGGTCCAAAAACATGCAAGGGCACACTGAATGCACCAAGAAATCAAGGCTGCCATAACCACTAGGCCTTCCTTCCAACAGATTCCAATTCGGAGAGTCAGGGTAGACCCCAGGGTCCACCAAATTAGCATAGCAATGGTGGCCATGAGCAGTGAGCTGGCCGTCTCCGATTCAAGTTGCCCCTGAGCCGTGAAATCTGCGGGGGGCATGAGGCTCCCCCCTGCAAGGGGCCTGCTGTGTGAGGATGCCGCCAAGGCCGTTCGTCGTGCGCAGAGGGGAAGAACGGCATGCGTCGCTGGCAGGCAGCTCGTGGCCCTGCAATTCTCATCACCCGGCCAACGCAGCCGACAGCGAGAGATCGCGGGAGGTGGGGGAGACTGGATATAAACAGCCAGTCTTACTCATGTGAGGAAAATTCTTTTCTTATGAGAGCAGGGAACATTTATACTCAAAACTACCCATTTTCTACTGAGGTTTTGCAACATGTCCAGAGCCTTTCTGAGCCCTCTAATTGTTCTAACCAGCAGTATATTTAAGCTCCCCACAGGATGAACTAGGTTTGTTGCTACAACCCCACACATGGGTCTTGACGGAGGACGCCGGGCAACAGGTTCCGTTAAGGGAAAAGCCCGAGACTTTTCGAGCCCCAGTTCAGCCTTTCCCTCCTGGCCATACTGGGCTGAAACGCCCATCGTTCCCCCAAGCCAATATCTGTGATGCAAGGAGGACGCCTGGCCTGTGTTACTGTGCCATCATATTCCAGGGCATGTGCCACACGTCTGGGCCCATTTCCACGCACAGCCTGCACACAAGCAGCTGCCTTTGGAGGCAGCTATTCTCCAACACGAAACACAAATTGCCCAGCATGTTAAGAGTGTTTAGAGAAGATAGATGGGGCATGTTTGCGATGTTCACACTTCTCTTGGGGCACACATCAACTGCAAACCCAGCCTTGGAAGAAACCACTCCAGAATTTCACCATAATCCCAAGATCCATAGGTTCACTAGCTCCACGCTGCAGAAGTTTTAGCTTTTCTGCTTATTTTGGCCAAAGGATTGTTAGCATTAAGCCACGTTGACTATTTAGCCACTTAGCTCTTGGCCGAGGGACCAAGAACTGGCTGTGAAGTTTGGCCACCCAAAACAGATCTGTTTCTTAAAAGGCTGACATGCCCTTTCAACAGGTCATTAACATCTGGCTTCTGTGTGTGGAGCGGCAGCTTCTCCTGCCACACAACCCCACTTGGGTGTGGAATTCCATACAGCAGGGACGCACAACATGCGACTGTAGCTCCTGCTGGTTCACAAAGGAGATTGTGTCCATTTCACAGGGAAGGAGGCGAGTGGGGGAACTCATGCCTTGCTTCTGAGCAGAATTACGGTCCCAGACGCTTCCTGGATTCCCATTCGGCTCAGGAGCAAAGGCTACAGCCCCAGCAAATTCAGTGGGGATGCAGCCGTCGGATCCTTGGAAGCTGCCCACACCTCTTGCAGCAGCTCTGTCCTTTCTGCAGCTCTGGCTTCCAAAAATTCCCAACAGCGAGAAGCAAGAGCCAGCCAATTTGCTCTGCGAACCAACCCCAATTATCGCTACATCCTTCGGCCACAGCTCCTACGTGCAGGCTGCATCTGAGCAACTCGGTTTTGACACGACTTGGCACATGAGCCAAAAGCTTCAAACTTGGGTCGAATGCTGTTGAATCCAGACAGTCCAAGAAACACGGTCCTTGGCTGTTCGGGACTGGTTCTCCTGAGGCGATGCTCATTAAAAAGCCCTGGCCTCGTCTTCTGTGGCAAGTCAGACTCCTCTCCAGCGGGTTCGGCAGGGGAGTTCTCTGTCTCACTTTCCCAACTTATTGCAAATGGCTTACACAGGTACATGGGGGAAAGCTAGCCTGTAAAAAAACTTCACTGGTTTCTGAGGACAGAGCTGCAGGCAGTTTGTGGACAGCATCCTGCGGATTTTCAGAAAGGCTCGAGATGCAGCAGGACCTCTTGGCACCACCAGGGAACCCAAGGAGAACCCAAGGAGGACAAACCTGCATCTGTCCTCACGAAGCCTTGGTAAGACTCTGTCATTACAGATTTCTTAACAGAATTTGGAACATAGCTACGCTTGAACAATTGTCTAATCAAGTCAGGATATATAAAGGGGAAATAAAACATGATCGTCTTAAGAAAATATGGCAACTGTTATTGGAACATGGCACTGAGCTTATTTTGGACAAAGATTTTATAGGTAATAACCTTGATTGTTGGTCTTTAAGTTTTTAGGATAGATATTATGGAATGCACTCCCCAGAGAGATTTGCCCGGGGCTGACAATTTATTCCTTTCAGCGCCAGGCTAAAACTTTTTTTATTTTCCCATTATTTTATGGTGTGTCTAGGTTTTAACATGGGTTTTATTTTACTGGAATTATTTGGATGCTGTGCCTCATTTCATTTTAATTTTGTTTTTATTGTAAGACCATCCTGAGACTTTTAGTAGCTGGACAGTATATAAACGCTATAAATAAAATCAATCAATCAATGAAAGGATGAGGTCAAGACCGCCAAGCTGCCTTTCCCAAGCTGGACTTCGACTTCTAGCAGACCCAGCCAGCACCTAACGATCAGCAAAGCTTGGAGCTGTTGCCCCGAAACACCAGAGGAGCTCCAGGCTGAGCAATTCCAATGCGCACAGAAGGATCCAGACGAAGCTGGCCAAACACCGCGAGCGCCAACCTCACCCTCGCCCGACCAGAGAAAGACATCACCTTCAATGTCGGGTAGCCGGTGATCCCAAATTCGTTGCATGTTTTCTGGTTGGAGATCTCAGCGCAGTCCAGCACAGCCAGCATCACGGCGGGCCTCCAATCTAGAGAGGAAGGGACAGGGGAGCATTACCGAGGGGGTGCCACGCGGAGGTGGGTCGAGACCTGTTTTGCCCTGCAGAGGAGGGCAGGATGCGTTCCCATGGAGCAAAGCTCAGAGAGCCAAGGTTCAAGCTGGATGCCAGGAAGCACTTCCTGACAGTCAGGACCCCGAGGGTGTGGAATGGGCTTCCAGGGGAGGTGGCTGAAGCCCATCGGTGAGGGTGTTCAAGGATAGGCTGGACATACACATGGTGGGCATGTCCTGAGCAGAGCCGGCTGGAGCTGGGGGTCAGACTAGATGGCCCAGGAGACCCCTTCAACTCACTCTGTTTCAATGTTTCTGTGTTACTGTCTCTCCATTCTGTGACAAGACTGAGGTGCCCATGAAGTCAGGAGACAATGAGGAAGAGGAAGGCAACTGGGAACACATGCCCAACCTTTTACAGAGCAGGAGGTTAAAGACCATCCAAGGCACAGGGCAGGTTTCCCAACAAGGGGATGGAGGAGGTGAGGGAGAGTCATGCTGCTCCTGAGCGCCGTTTGCAAGTGTCTAGAAGGCCAGGAAGGCCAGGCGGGGCTTCCCCGAGGCCACCGAGAGGAGCAGGGCAGGCCCCACTGGGTGGGACACTCAAGATCAAGGGCCAACAATTAAGAACAAAACCAAAACCTGGGAGCACTTAAACAGAGGCACTCAAGGCAAAGAGGGAGGCAGAAGAGGAAGGGCCGAGAAAGGGAGAAGCGCAGGAGGGGGACGGCAAGAGAGGGTCTGGGGGTGGAACCAAAGAGGAGACAGAAAACTGGGAGACAAGGGGCACGAAGGAAAGCTCCATGCCGTCAGGGACTGCGAAGGTAAGGAAGGGTGAAGAGCACATGCTAATTGGCGATCAGTGCCCAAACCTTCTCCTTATAATTATCGGTACATTTGGTCCATGCCCTGAAGTTGTTTGTCACCCAGCGCACAACCCAGCCAGCACACTCTCCATGAGGAGGCGCGGCAGGTGCCAGCAACGTATCACCATAATTCAGCACTGAGTCACGAGGCAGGTTCACTGGATTGAGTAAGACTTTGTTTGTCTGTTGTTATTACGGTTGGGCTGCAAAGGGGAGGTCAAAAGAAACAACCTGCCTTTGCTGAGGAACCCTTCCTAGTTCACCGAGCAGCTCTGGGAATGCAGTCAGCATTTTATCAATCACTCTCCGTGTGGGATTTCCCCCGGCATCCCCACCGGAGGGTGGCATTCAAAGCTCCCAAACGAAAGGGAGGACGTTTGTGTGCGTGGGCAGTTGGCCTGTTGCTTCCAGTGTGAAAGCCAAGGGGGAGCGATGGTTAATTCTCCCCCAACATCAGTTGGACTACACAGCCCATCACCCCCACCGTTAAGGCTCATCTACCGACATCATAAAGCAATTGAGAGAATGAACTGGGGAGGACCACAGACCAGGGGCGTGTGAGGCTCCGGGGCCCGTCGCGTCCCCGCAGCTCCACTCCCAGACTCCCGCCTGCTCTCTGACTTGGTGCTGAACACGCTGAGGGTTTGGACAGTTCCTGCAGGCACTGAGCCACACGCAAACACAGCGCAAGCAGACTTGCGGCTCTGCCGTCCCGCACACGCTGCAGAAGGGGTTACACAAGGGCAGTGCGCATGGACTTCCACCAGGCTCGACTCACCTTGCAAGTGAGGGCAGAGCATGCGAAAGCTCCGCATTCCAAAAGGACCATCACCACCCTTCTTCCAGGAACAGCACCCCCCACCCCCTGCTACCTGGAAGTGGGTGAAATGATGCTGATACAAACGCCAATGTTACTGCATCTCTAGCAGCAGAACCTGCTGAGGGAGCAGCTGCCCTGTTTTCGCCCGGCTTGTACCACTGCGGCATCTAGCTAGGGGAGTTGCTCTTGCCCCCTGCCCCCCACCCCCGGCGATGTGAGCTTGTAGTTTTGGGCCATCATGTCGGCACCGGCTTCTGGCCAGCCTAGGAGCGAGCGTCCGTAGCAGCCCTGCTCAGCTCCCAGAAACTCTTCTTGCAAGCTTAACCACCTGCTTCTCTCCCCCTCATTCCGTACTATGTGGCATCCGTGGAGACAAGTACCCCGAACACAAGAAGCACGGGTCTCGGGGTCAGGACGGGTTTGCGCAAGGAATGGCGGGAGGTTCTCGCAAAGTCAGCCGCTTCCAGTCCGCGCACTGTGAGCCCTTCGGATCAGGGAGGCTCCCAGCCACCGCCCGCCCAGAGAACCATGTCAAACAGCTCATGCACCCGCTGCTCCACCCTGAGCTTTTGGTACCAGCCGCCATGAGAGGAGCATTAAATGGAACACTGCAGCCATTGTTCACATGTCATCTCAGCCACTCCTTGCGCCTCGTTTCCCAGAAGGAGGGTGTCTGGCCGAGAGGCAGAGCAGGGTGGCTGAGGCCACGCCGGGGCTCGGGAGGTCAGTGTTGGGCAGATTCGTCAGGCCAGAGGTCAACCCCAGCTGTGCTTGCATCATCAGCACTTGGCCTCAGTCACCCCATCCATAAAATGGCTCTCAGCATGAGATGCAGGCAGCGACTCTGAGGACTCCTGAATGCCATCATCACAAAGTATGCAAACGTGTGGTGACAGACCCACCTGCATCCTGGGTCTATAACCCAAACAAACAAGCATGCTTCATGCAAAACTGCGCATTTTGGGGAGAATCCTTTAGACACGTTAGATTTGCAACTGGAGTTGCATGCAGGAAGGACTGAGACTAGCCAAAACTGGCCTATGCACAGGTGTGATGGGATTCCAGAGAAGACGGGACAAGAAGGGAATGCAAAGGCGCAGACACTCCCAACTCCACCTAGGTTTCCTCTGTGTTGTGGGTGCTTTGCTAAATAAAGCCACTGCTGATTTTCAGATTTCCCTCTGCACGGGGCTTAAATTGAACAGAGGTCAATGCAACCACCCACGACGGCCACAAACTCCTCAGATGTGGGTTACTGGGAAGCACCTACAAAGCTGAGCAGGAGCAAACGATTCAGGAAAAGTGTCCGCCCAGACCTTCCTTCCACCCGGTGCTTCTCAGTCACCATTCGGCACGTTTTTCCCACTCTCCTCGAACTGCCAGAAAAGTAAAGAAAGCTGCATTGGTTCATGAAGCCAGCCAAGATCCAGACCCTCTGCTGGACAATGCCTTTAAGAATGGGGCAAGTTGCCCCAGTCTTCATCAGGCTGGGAGGTCCAAGCAGCAGGGATGGGCTCCCCAGGCCAGGCCCAAGGAAGAACACTCAGGACAGACGTCGTGGTCACAAGGTCTGCGTTTCAGCCGGTTTCAAGAGGGAGGGTGGATGGCTGGATGGATCTGCTGTTACCAGGGCTGCAGGTGTTCGACACTGCCTGGGATTCTGGGACCGAGAAATTGTGGCTCCGTTTCCGGAAAGATTATTTCTGATTTTACTGAGCGATTTATTACAGTTCGATACTGCCCAATAGTCAAAGCTGTCTGGGTGGTTGCTGAAATGCTGTGATTATTAATGATTGTTATTATCGTTTCATGCCTGTGCCACCCCACAGCCAAAGCAATGTGGGTTGTTTACATCAGTCCATAAAAACAGGCGATACAGATGCAGGAAGAGCCATAAAATCACAAAATACTTAAAAGCTAAAAAAGACAATAGCATAGAGAGATCTTGCAAAAACACCAGGGACAGGTACTCTCCCTTGGGAAAGCAAGGTTTCACAGGCGTTGGAAAAGGGGGGCATCTTAACTTGGCATGGAAAAGATGACCGTCAGTGCCAGTGGGGAGGCTGTTCACTTGATGGGGCCACCACCGAAAAAGCCCTCCCCCTTGTTGCCACCCCCTGCACTTCCCCTGAGTTGGCACTTGGAGGGGGCCCCTGGAAGTCAAGTGGATTATGGCTGGGAGAGACACTCCAACAGGCACTGCCGATCAAAGCCATGAAAGGTCAAACCCAGCTATTTCATGGCTGCTGCGAAGAGTGTGGAGGCCTGGTGCGGAATATCTTCCGTAGTATCTGCGGGAGCACTGAGGTTTTGCAACGCAACGGCCGTTTAAACGGACCTGAAATAACCGCTGCAAGCTGAAGGAAGTGGGCAAGACAGTTGGCTTTGCACCCGCCTGTGCAACCTTTCCCCAACTTCCCAACCAAGCTCTTAATTGTGCGTTTGCATAATTTGGGGGTGGGGCAGGGGCACCTCAGTGGGGAAAGCAAAGGGAACAGAGCTTAGGAAGTACTGCGAGACGTACAGCTGAGGGGCCAACTGGCCCGTGGCACGACTCAAGCTCGCGGCAGTTCCTGCACCTGGAACGGCAAGAGGAATTCGGCGCCTGCTGCCCCAGCCTCGGGCCAAAGGAAGAAACTGCCTGGAAACCAGAGCCAGGGCGCCCTTGGCACACTGCTGCCAATGCCGGCCCCTGCACCCCATGGTTTGCCACCCCTCGGGCACCGCTGAAGTCGCCCGCCCCCCACCCCAGCCTTGGGCCCATTTGCCCGTGAAGCCACCGCATTCCCCTGCCCGCTGCAGTGTTTTTCTTACCAGGTGCCCTGGCAGTGGCAGTCGGTGGTGGTGGTCCCCCACCTGACCTCTGACCAGGTGAGCTCAACCCCCATACACAATTTTAAGCCAAAAAGGGAAGGAAAACATGTTTCCAGTAGCAGCTCTCAGTTCCATCAGAGGACTTGGCCGGTGACTCCCCCTGCGTCCTCATCCCTGTGCCCCATCAGTCATACCTCTTACAAAGGTTGCACCTGATTGAGCACTTAAGATCAATCTACTCAAAAGGTAAGGGGAAAATACCAGAGACATTCCAAAAGAAACTGGGCAGCCCTCCGAGCGGGACGGTGTGACGTGGTGTCCTGCAACAGCAGGGGTTGGACGTGATGGCCTTCATGGCCCCCTCCGACTCTCCTATTCTATGATTCTTTGAATGGGGTGCCAGGGAGCCTGCGGGCACCACGGTGCTTCCATGGTAGGCGAAGAAGAGGAGTGCGGCAGGCAGAGACTTGTGGGCAG